AAGTATGAGAAATACAAAGAAAATAATCTCTATTAAATACATACTAATCTGTATGATGCTTATTAACACACTAAATTAAACTCACAATTCACTTTCAAGATTATTGTTCTACAGGTTTCAGTAATATTATACTGTACAGTTCTGAAATTACAGAAACATAAAGTAACTTTTAAAATAATTTATTGTCTTCAGCACATACTACTTTAACTCACATCTCTTTATTTCTATTTTGAAAGAGCTGTTTAAATTTGAGACAAGCTTAAATTTCTTTCCTGTTGCTCAGGATACCCACAGGGATGAATTTAGGTAACATCCAGAGGCTTTCTGAATAAGATATTATGTTTAATATAATATCATACAACTGGCAAGTCCTAAACAATCCAAATACTTCTTTCATTTGCCACAGACTGACTCAATAAGCAGACTTTAAGCTTTTTCACACTGAAAAAAACAGGTCTTTTGCTGTCAGAGCTTCCAGGATTAAACATTCTTTCCAGCTGTTGGCTCATGCCCTGAAGATCCTGCACTTTCAAACTTATCCCATTCTAGCTAGTTCAAAGATCAGGAAAATGAAGCCATCTTCTTTGCAGCCATAATCCACGACCCATGCTGTTAGATACTTAAGAACATCTCCAAAGCAAACTACCTTGTTTCAGCCGCCAGCAGGAGCTCAGCAGGCGTGGGCCACATGACTGCAAGGCCAGCCTGCTCAGGTGACTCGGTGGCTAATCTGATTTGGTGCCTATGAAACTTTAATCAGTACAGTCAAATACCAGCACATTCCACAACTGATGAGAGAAGCAGCCTGGAGATGGAACAGCAAACACTAATAAGATTATGAATTAGAACTGCTACTGGGATGTGGTTTTCTGGTTCTCTAGCCCACATGTAAATCCTACAGGAAAAAATCCTACAGGAAAAAATCACTGAAAACTGGTCTGGCGGACATACATAAATGAAATAAATTTGAAATAAAATAGGCTCTTGTTTTATTCCAAAATGAACAGCATTTTGTTCAAAGACAAGAGCATACATTAATCCTCTGCAGCACAATTAAAATGCAGCAAAACCACTGATTTGGAAGCAAAGACAACAGAACACATCCATGAGTAACATCCTGTTGTTGAGGAACACTGCCCACACCATGCTGCTGGTGTTAACTTGCCCTGCAAGCCCAGAAGGACAAACCACATGGTAAAGAGAGGCCACTACAATTGTGCTTCCTCTGCCCAACCACAGTTATCCAAAGCACACCTCAAGGGCTGCTATTCTGCAGACACCAGGATTTTCCCCAAATTTGTAGGCTACAGCCTTTGAAGAGTATTATCAACTGTACTTGAAGATCAAATGTGGTTTTCTGATTCTCTATCCCACACAGAAAAATATCAATGAAAGCAGATATATGGGCAGACATACAGGTTTGAAATTAAATGGGCTGGCATTTTATTCCAAAATGAACAGCATTTTGTTCAAAGACAAGAGCATACATGAATCTTCTGCAGCACAATTAAAACATAGAAAAAACCATTTATTTACAACAAACACAACAGAACACATCCATCCATAACACTGTCCACACAATGCTGCTTGTGTTAACTTGCCCTGCAAGCCCACAAGGACAAACTATGTGGTAAAGAGAGGCCACATCAACTGTGCTTCCTCTTATTGATGCCTTCTGTCCCTTCATGGTCACCAGAAGCTGAAGGCTGACCTAGAGCAGAGGCTGGAAGAAAAGCCAAACCTGAGGCATCATTATCAACCACAAATATCCAAAGCACACTTTTGGGGACACCAGGATTTCCCCCAAGTCTAGAGGCTACAGTTTTGGAAGAGAAATGTCCAATGTTCAGCCAGATCAAATTCTAAGCATAACCTTTTCCCAAATGTTCTGACTGCTCTCTTGCTTACCATTGTATTCCCTCCATTTTTTTTCTCCCCAGGAATTTTCACCCAAAATCCTCTTAACCCAACTTAGAATCTGCATTTTGCAGAGACAAGCAGTTAAATTGGACACCAAGTTTGCAAGAAGAGGGAAAGAGAGAGCTTGATTTCTCCACAGCACAGCTCGGATTTGCAGTTAAAACCGACATCCCCATTTGACCAGGTCTATGTGACAACGTGTGAGCTGAGAGGAAGCAAAGCTCATATTCTACAGTTTGAGACATCCCAAAATAGACCAAAGATGTTTAAACTTCTCCATTCTCCAATGAGCTGAGTAGGACCCCTGTCCATTGCGAATTGTCCATAGCTCAGCTGACAAGAAATATCTTCCTAAGACAATTCCTGAGCACTGGAAATCATTTCAGTGTTCCTTAGTTTCTCTGCATTTCCATTCCACACCTAGAGCAGGAACAGTAGGACTTCTCTACCTCATAATGTGATGTTTAGAGCTGGAATTCCTGTGGTCTTGCTTTCTGCCAGACAGCAGATCCTAATGGGATCTTCTACAATGACTGAAACTGCACCTTTTCAAAACTGGACATGTGAATATAAGCAAACCTTCATTATCATGCAAAAAGGATGAAAAAAATATTGTTATTCCTGAAAATGAAACATCATTGATTTAAAAATAATTAGTTAAAAATAAATACAAAATTAAACCTCCATTAAATTAGTTCCTTTTCTGAAATTTGTCTGCTATACAGGTAAAGTCAGATGTTGTAAGCAGCATTTCCATAAGCACATATGCAGTTGGAAAGCTTTGTTATATTAAAATGTTAACATCTGAAAAATCCCCCACCTATTGAAAAACAGCTTATTTCCACTCATTACCTAAATCAGTAGGATTTTAACTGCACCCAGCAGATTAAACTGGGGAAAAACGAACACCACAACAGAACTAGTGATATACTTCAAAAGTTCAGTTCTCATACTGAAAAAATTGTATCTACTTCATTATTTTTTATACGTGAAACAGTCTCTCGTGCTGTTACAATGTAAGACACCATTTCTTTTTATTGGGAAAGATGTCTACAAAAAAAATTTGCAACAAAAGTATTACTTTATATAAAAATCCATTTTTTCCTCTTTTGCAACCCTGACCCACTGGATCAGCTCCTGAGCCACTGAGACTGCCAGGAAATGTGCAGGTTACCCAAGAAACACTACAAATGGTTAGGGGCATGGCACAAGGGTTGCCATTTGCAAAATACTTTCATTATGTGTGTTCTCTTTCCAATAGGAAAGAGAAAAAAGGAAAAAAAAAAAAAGGGAAATAATTATTTAGCCTCCAATTTTAACTGGCCTGTAGGAAAACGAGGTTAAAAAAGCATAAAAAAAACCCTTACCTGTCAGACAAATAGTACTGAAAGAACAAAAGAGAGGGCTCAGCCCTGGATGTATGCTTACACCTGTGCTGGGAAATTAAGACAACCTACAACAGCGTATTTTAATTTAAAAAAAAACAATAAAGGAAATACGTTGTGTTAATGAAGTAAGAAAAGAAAATGTACCGCTTGGAATGGGAAAAAAACCATCCCAGAGACTGAGTACATACAGTTTATCACTGGATTCTCCTTCTGACAGGCAAGCAGTGACTTATCAGAGATATCCACAGCACTGGGTCACCAGCTTCTGTAACAAAGTTCTCAACAGTTATCCTGCAGTTGTTGTGCCACACACACCTGCAAGCACCCACATCCCTGAGACCTTCAGGGATTTGGGCTCCAGGAGCACAGCACAGGAAGAAAAGGCAGAGTAACTGTGAATTTTAAAAGTAGAGAACTCTCCCTAGGTTTCAGGCTCCTCCTCAGACAGACAGAATTCACACCACAGGATCCCACTGACAGAAACAGAGGCCCAAACCCTTGGCAAAGAATTGTGAATTATGCTTTGGGTCTTTATTTTGTTGGCCTTTCCTGTTACAGATATTCACACCTCATTGGTCACGTATTACAGAAGTGAAATTAAACATCTATGTTTATTTCTTGCCACGGTTTCCAGACTCCTTTGATTTTCTCCTCTACACGCAGACACTTCTAACTTCCATTAAACAATAACCTATACTTAAGTATTATTCAATATTTCAGAGTTTAGCAGAAAATACAAGCCATTAAGATTACCTCCTGATACTCCTGATGAAAGATCTTGACTTGTCTACTGCTTAACATGTGTGGAAGCTTGGCCAGCAGCAAAAAAGATCATCCTTTCCCCAGCTAGGGAGACATCATGCTGAAGTTTCACGCTCCTGAATTCGAATTGGATAGGAAGGGAAGCTCTGAGGTTCAGGACTGCCCACATACTGCTGCTCTTTCATGCTGCTCGTATTTAACACGAGGATTTTTTCCCCTCAATTAAAAAGAGACTCAAGAACCACAGGTGTTCAGAAAGTTGGCTTAGAACAACAGTAAACACGAATCACTGGAATTAAAGAGTGAGAGTGAGGGGTTATAGTAGCAAAGCTTCGTTTTTCTATCCTGCTTGTACAAGTGTCTTCAAGCAATCTGGGATGCCTCTGTATCACCAACAGATGAAAAACTAACATAAAAATACTTGTGGTAGTGGCTGTTCTATATATGACAGGGGCTTCCCTTGCTTTCAGAGCACCAGAACAGAGCAAACGTAGCAGAACTCGTCAAAGCATTTTAATGTCTTTTAACTTTTGCTCCCACACTTTGTCTTGGTCCACGCTGACACAAGACCTTGCTCCCGAGTTAAGGCATTAAACCACACACCTGCTACAGGTCCGTGGCTCTGCACAACCAAGCAGGGACCCCAAGTACAGTCACATATGTCGCACGCAGCCACGAAAATAGATTTTACAAGCACTTTTCCCTTGCAGGCTCATTCCGGAGGGGCTGATGCCGCTCCGGGCGAGCCCGTCCGCCCCGGCCCGCCGCACGCCGGGCGGTGCAGACACCCCGCGGGTGCCAGCTCCACAGCGCCCGTAACGAGCTCCCCGAGCCCTTCCGTGCCCGCTGCCGGCCCCCTGAGCCCCGGGAAGGGCCGCGGTGTCCCCTGAGCCCCGGGCAGGCCCCGGTGCCCCGCGGCGCCGCTCTCACCTCCCCGCTCGCCGCCGGGCCCGCAGCGCTCCGCCGCCCCCCGGCTCCGCGCGTGCCAACAACGCGGGCTCCCATTGGGCGGCGGCCGCCCGAGCCGCTCCCCCATTGGCGGAGCGCCGGCCCGGGGCCGGCCCGCGGCCGCCCGCGCTGCCGGGCACGCGGCCCTCGGTGCGCCACGGGCAGCTGCTGCTCTCCAGCGGGCTGCCCTCCCTGGACTGTGTGCTAGGTTGGTGGGAGCGGGACTGGGACCCGGTGCTGCGCCCCCGCCGCCCTCCCCTTTGCCAGGCCCTTGCTGCCCTCCCGCAACCCCGCGGCTGCTCCCGAGGCTGCTCCTTCCTCCCCACAGTCCCGGGGGTCGCGGCGAGGGCGGGATTGGCAGGAGGCCGGGGGAGGCAGGTCGTGTATCCCGGCTGGAGCTCGCGGAGGAGCCGTGTGCCATCGCTGCGGGCGGGCTGGCGGCTGGGAGAGCCCTGTGGGCTGCTGGGTTTCCTTGGAAAGCCCTGTGGGCTGCTGGGTTTCGGCTGGGAAAGCTGTGTGCTGCTGGGTTTCCTTGGAAAGCCGTGTGGGCTGCTGGGTTTCCCCTTGGAAAGCCGTGTGTGCTGCTGGGTTTCCCCTCGCTCACCCTGCGCAGCTCTCCGTGAGTGCTCGGAGCAGCGCATGGCCGCGGCCGGGCTGGCGGCTGGGAGAGCCCTGTGGGCTGCTGGGTTTCCCCTTGGAAAGCCGTGTGTTCCACCAGGGTTTCCCCTTGGAAAGCCATCTGTTCTACCAGGGTTTCCCCTTGCTCAGCCCTGTGTTCCGCCAGGGTTTCCCCTCGCTCAGCCCTGTGTTCCACCAGGGTTTCCCCTTGCTCAGCCGTGTGTGCCGCACTGACGCCGGGCTCTGTGCCGCGGCCGGGGTTGGGATGTGTTGGGGCTCTCAATTTGTCTTTTCCGCCTTGCTCGCCACGGCTGCATGGTTCAAGTGATAAATTAGATAAATTGCTCTGGTGTGACGCTGGTTTTGCTGTCTCAGTGTCGGGGTGTGAGGTGGTCCCGTGGACTCAGTGTTGCGATTGCTGCTGTGTCATCCCTATGCACTTTCCCTGGGGTTGGGAACTCCTTCCTTTGCTGGTGTAAACAGCGTGGTTTATCTGGGTGATCCTCTAACTCTTCACGCAGTTGCAGTGCATCTGTAATATACATACATGGGACTTCTAGGTGAGAAAAGCCTGATTTTAGCTTGGTTCATTCATCCTTGGGGTACACAGAATATGCCAGTTTTCTCTCTAGGGATGCTCTGTATGATTAATGGTAATATAAGAGTTGTATCCCTTGTACAAAGGACGTTTTGCAGCTTGTATATGATTGTGTGTGTGTCTGCACTTTCGTCAGGGATTAGGATCATTGTGGAGGAAGCTCTTCCTGCTTGAGAGAGAAATATTTCATTAAGTGAGAGTAATTTGTGAAGCCTTTTAATTGCATTAAAAGCAGATTTGCGTTGAATATTCCCGTTCATATTCCCTTTTAGAAATGGTGCATTTTGCACTGCATGAAGATGTAGACAGCTCCCACGGTGGCAGTCTCCTAAAATTCTAGGCACCAGTGAAGAGCTCAGCTGTTGTTGTGGAGTCTTCTTGGGTGCCACTCCAGGGCCTTCAGCTTTTCCTCTCTTCTCCAAGCTGAGCAAGCCCACTTCCTTCAGCCTCTTCTCTTGAATCGGTTGCCCATTTTCATTCTCTTCCCTGGATTCACTTCAGTTTATGTTTTCTTGAATGGAGGAGCTCAAAGTCATCTGGGCCTCATATTCTAGATGTGATCTCAGTAAAGGGGAGCATCCTTGGAGCATCTGACTGAGCCTCTGATGGTGCTGATGCCTTGTGCAGGCTGCCCTAGAGCAGAGGCTGGACAGAGCTACAGAATAAAGCAGGGATTCATTCCAAGGATCTCCTCCATGGATGCACCTTGGGCAGCACCAGAGCCCAGCCAGGGCTGCACCCAAGATGAACCCAAATGGCCCCAAAATGCACGAGCGCTGCCGGGGTCTCTCCCTGGGCTCAGCTCTGCTCCATGTGCACATTGCAGTTCAGTGTCCAGTTCCAGCTGCAGCCCCTGCAGTCCCATCCTGCTTGTTTTTCTCTCTGCAGCCCACGGGGTTTGTGCTCTTGGGCTGAGATTGGGATCATTTGTCCTTGGTGCCCAGCTGGAGCAGGAATTGTTTTGTGTCCCTGCTCTGTGCACAGAGCTCACCATGCCCTCATGTGAAGCTCAGAAGTGCACCCTAAAGCAGCACAGAATGTGAGAAATAAAAAAGCTGAAACGTGAGGCATCAGTGCAGTCCACTGTGCTGGTGACTCTGCAGATGTTGACTTGGTCTGCTTTGGGCCTTTTTTCTGGGTGTGGAAATGCTTCATGAATGTGTTGCAGAATGCTGTTTATGTTTTTCTGAAAGAATATTGGGAGGTTTTCTTCTTTTGTCTTGCCCACTAGCAGTCAAATAATTGATTGTAAAAAAATTTAATTTTTATTGTCATCAGGGACTGAGGGCAATCTTTTTTTTTTTTTTGTATAAATTCCCAATGGAAGTTAGTACAAACTCTTTGAAGTCTGGTGTTTTCATAGACATACTTTGTAACAGTCACTAGGCGGTCTTGTAGATCTCTGGCTTGGGTTTGAGTTTAACTTTACTGTGTTGAAAATCTGTAACCCAGATACACAATTATTTGCCAGACATGAAACTGCAGCCTGTGAGTGAGGGAAAGCATGATGTTGTCCCACACAGGTCTAATGAGGACCTTCTGAAGAGAGGAAAATGCAAAGAATCCAAGGAGGAGTTTCTTTCACCCTGCCAGCTGATTGTTGCATTGATGTGGCTCACTCTAAAGGAGTGAATTTCCTTTGGAAGAGAAGTGGTAGATAAGTGCTGGATTTCAAATGCAGTGTTAGCATCAGGGCACTCTGCACTTCCAGACTTTATTTTATAATTTTTTAAATTTATATTACAGATACATATATTTTATAGTTATAAATATTTTATATTTATAAGTTTACATTCAGGGTTTGTGGGCCATATATGCCTGATGTGTGCCAGGACAATTCTCTGCAATAAGCTGCAACTATTGTGTAATATAAACATCACATGCCTGGTATTGGATGTGTTGTTTCAGGCTGCTGGAAAAAAGGTCAGGGATGTGTTTTGGAAACAATCTGGGCACTTCTCAGCTTGCAAAGTTTGTTGTGTTTCTCTCCATAAGATCTTGAATCTCTCTTGTAAGTAGCAATATGGAAAGTTACAAGTTTTGCTTAGATCTTTGTAAATTCTACTGCCTTAGATACTGGCAAAGATAAATGAAAATAGTGAGATTAGGAAGAATGACAAGTTCATAGCAGCTTTCTTGGGAAACTTACAGATTTTGCCTCTTCCTTTTGAATCCATCAGCATTGCTGCTATCTTTTCCTGTTGCCTTTTGTTTAATTTACTAGTATTGTTGCTCATTGCAATATGAAGATGTAACCATGGTAACTGCAATAGTTTTGCTTTCTCTCTAACAGAAGACACTTGTTCAAACCACTCTGTGATAAAGTAACAACAATGCTCTGACCTGAGTTTGCCTTTAGCATCCAGGGTATGTGCACCTGTTACAGCTCTGGCTGGTAGAAAAGTACCATTGATGATCTGAAAATGCAGCTTGAGAGAATTTTGGCTGCACTGTTTGGCAAATAAATTCACTGTAAAAGCAGAAGAGACACTACTTTTGTCGTGGCTACCAGTGAACTTTTTTCTAACCAAGGTTTTAAAGTCCTTATTGCCATGAGCTAATACATTACTTATGGCTGCTTTAATCATATTTTCTGTGTCAGCCTAGGATTTGGTAAAATCTCAACATTTGGGGCTTTTCTTTCCAATGGGCTGTATAGAGCATGTGCTCGTTTTAAACAACTGTTGTTAGGAACCCGAGTGTTCTGGCTGCCTGAACAATTAAATGCAGTCAATATTGGAAGCATACTTTGTGCCAAACATCAGTATGATTTCAGATTTTGGTCTTTTCTTTTTGCTTTCCCCTGTGGTACATCTTTTGGCTTCATTTGCATTTATCTCCTGAACAAATAAATGGAACGAAAATCATTGGCTTAGGACATGGGGATTTCATGAGTGATTCTAACTTTCTGATAAACAGCAGTTAAATTTGGGTTTTTGTTTGTTTGTTTGTTTTTTTAATATCTAGAAAATGCTTAATTACCCAATCAGCTTGCTGTAGATACTGAAGCATTTGTACATCTTGACTCAGTTTACCTTGAAACATCTGCTTCTCTATAACTATGAAATCAGTAGCAGATTAAGCACTTTCACTGCCCAGTACTGCTCAAATTGTGGTGCATGATGGCAAAGTGGTCCTGTTCTGATTTTAATTCAGGTGCTATTATGCAACAATGTAGGATTTTTTGGCCTATGGGAAAGCAATTTTCTTTTTTTTCTTCCTTTTGGGTATATAAACATTACAGACAGGCAGGCATTTGTAGTCCCACTAGCAAAGCTGAAGATTAAGAAGTTGATCCAACTCATATTGGAATCAACTTCTAGTGGAGTTTATTGAGGTCTTACAAATGTGTAAAATGAAAGATCCTGTTCACTGGAGTCCATCTGTGCTGTCCAGAATTGACTTCTGGAGCTTTGCATACTGTGCTGATGGGATTCATCGATTAGTTTGCTCCTAAGTTGTTTTTAGATCAGGACACCTTTTAAAGCAAGGTTACACCAGAATTCCCTTTCCAGACCACAGTGCAGCTCTCTGGGACCATCTCCATTGCTGCTGAGGTGTCCAGCTTTAAAAGGTGTCCTGGTTTAAAAGGTCAATTGCAGACAACATCCTGCAGTTTCCATGCAAAACACATCAGTGTGCTCGTTACCTGTGGCCATCTGAACACTTCCAGAGATTTTTAGCTTTCTTGTCACAGACTTCCATAAATGTTAAACAAAATAGTCTGATTTCAGGTTATTCCACTATAGTACTCTTGGAATTCAGGTTATAAACCAGTGTACTCTTTCCCAAAAATAAAATCTGAGTTCTTCTTTCACTGGCCTTGCAAAGGAATTCATGGGGTTGTTATGTCCAAGACCTGCTGTAAAGG